GACCAGCCTGAGCAACATAGTAAGACCTCCATCTCTAACAAAATTAGAAAAAGAAAAATTAGCCAGGCATCTGTAGTCCCAGCTGCTTGGGAGACTGATATGGGAGGTTCCTTTGAGGCCAAGAGTTACAGGCTACACTGAGGTATGATCAAGCCGGCTACTCCAGTCTAGGCAACAAAATGAGTCTCTAACCCTGTTTACTTATGAGGATACTTCTCAGAGAAAATGATTAGTTAAAGAAGGATTTGTTTACAGGGGTACTGTGCTCACATTTTAGGCATTGAACATATGAGCTGCTTTCTCAATGGTGAGTGTAACAATATGATGTGGATTAACCCCAAACCAGATACCCAGCTTCTGTGATTGGATTGGGTAATTCTTTTTTTTTTTGAGACACAGCCTCAAGCTGTTGCCCTGGGCAGAGTGCTGTAGCATCACAGCTCACAGCAACCTCCAACTCCTGGGCTCAAGCAAGTTTTCAGCCTCTGCCTTCCAAGTAGCTGGGACCATAGGCGCCTGCCACAACACCCGGCTGTTTTTTGGTTGCAGCCATCGTTGTTTGGCAGGCCTGGGCTGGATTTGAACCTGCCAGCTCAGGTGTATGTGGCTGGTGGTTTAGCCACTTGAGCCATGGGCACTGATCCTGGATTGGGTAATTCTTTTTTTTTTTTTTGAGATGGAGCCTCAAGCTATCCCCCTGGGTAGAGTGTCATGGCATCACGCTTACAACAACCTCCAACTCCTGGGCTCAAGCGAGTCTCCTGCCTCAGCCTCCCAAGTAGCTGGGGTTGCAGCCATCATTGTTGTTTGGCGGGCCCGGTCTGGGGATTCGAACCCACCACCTTAGGTGTATGTGGCTGGCGCCTTAGCCACTTGAGCCACAGGCGCCAAGCAGGATTGGGTAATTCTTAGCCACAGTATCTGGGGTGGACACTTTGTTACTTTGGCTATAATTAATTTGTATATTTTGTAACTAATAGGTGAGCTAAGCAGTCTGTGAAAACAAAGACTGGAAATACTGTGTCATGGACCCTGTGTCACAATGATAATTTTTATTTTGTAAATCTTCACTTATTTGGAGTTTCAAAAATAAGTTATTTAAAACACATTTGTAGGCTCAGCGCCTGTAGCATAGTGGTTACGGTGCCGGCCACATACACCGAGGTAGAGGGGTCAAATCCAGTCTGGGCCAGCTAAGCAACAGTGACAACTGCAACAAAAAATATAGCCGGGCATGCACCTGTAGTCTCAGCTACTTGGGAGGCTGAGACAAGAGAATCGCTTAAGCCCAAGGGTTTAAGGTTGCTATGAGCTGTGATGCCATAGCACTTTACCATGGGCGACATAGTGATACTCTGTCTCAAAAACAAACAAAAAACCCACATTTGTATCTATGGGCTTTTCAGTGGATCATGATACATAGAGATTGATCTATATTTTATGAATTTTTCTAACACATTCCTCACTGTCTGCCAAGAAAGTAAGACATTTAGGCATACTTTGGTGCCTGACTTTTTCATGGAGTAGACAGGTGGCCTGTGTAATAGTGGTTCATTCCCTTTGGGATCTGTTTTGTGATGTGAAGCTACCCTTGTAGAGACTCAAGGGGATTGCACCTAGTCTAGTCATCTGAGGATTAGAGTAGCCATAACATCCATCACCGTGTCTGCCAGCCTTTGTGAAGGAAGGCCTGTTGATTTTGTATTGATGTAGTTCAGATCATGGAGGAAGCTGTTTTCCATAGTTTGATCTTGTGCCAAAGGGAGTATAGCTCATACTGGGATGCCACTTGGCACCTTTGTGTTTGGATGCGGGGGGATCAGACTTAGAGATGAATAAAAATTACAGCATGGAGGCTGCCAAACACACAAAAGTAAAGAGTATCCCATACTAAAAATACATCCACCATCTTTGTTGTAGGTAGTGTTGTTTCTTTTTTTTTTTTGAGACAGAGTCTGACTATGCCGCCCTCAGTAGAGTGCTGTGGTGTCATAGCTCACAGCAACCTCAAACTAACTCTTGGACTTAAAAGATTCTCTTGCCTCAGCCTTCCAAGTAGCTGGGACTACTAGTGCCCCCACAGTCCCTGGCTATTTGTTGTTGTTGTTATTGTTGTTTAGCAGGCCCAGGCCGAGTTCGAACCCACCAGCCCCAGTGTATGTGGCCTGTACCCTCACCACTGAGCTATGGGCGCCAAGCCAAGGTAGTATTGTCTGTGTGCTGTCTTTTACCTGTCAGGGCTGTTCATCCTCTTGGTTTCAAAGGAATAGGGCAATTTAGAGAAAGGTACCTTTCCTCCTTTTTTTTGGTGTTAAAATGTACATAAAATACATTATTTCAATTATGTTAAGTGTGTGTACATATATATATACATATGGTTTTTTTTTTTTTTTTTTTTTGAGACATAGTCTCACTATGGCACCCTTGGTAGAGTGTTTTGGGGTCAGAGCTCACAGCAACCTCCAACTTCTTGGGCTTAAGCGATTCTCTTGCATCAGCCTTGAAGTAGTTGGGACTACAGGTGCCCACCACAGTGCCAGGCTATTTTTTGGTTGTACAGTGTTTCCCCCAAAATAAGACACTATCTTATATTTATTTTTTCTCAAGAAGACACACTAGGGCTTATTTTCAGGGGTTGTCTTAAGTATAATGCAACAATCTACATTTATTCAAATACAGTTAAGTCATCTTCTTCTGGAACCTGACAGGGGGAGCCAACCTTGTTGGTGGGGCTGGTGTTAGTGATGCATGAACTCCTTCCCCCTAGCCGTTCACACGCATACAATGCCTGTGAATGGTTGGGCAGTCTTCCTTACCGCTCAGGGCGGAAATGCATGGCATAGCTATGCAGATACAGTGCGTAGCCATGCCCATCACTAGGTCTTATTATTGAGGTAGGGCTTATATTTAACAAATGCATAGAAATCCTGCTAGGGCTTATTTTGGGGGGGTAGGTTTTATTTTCGGGGAAACATAGTAGTTGTCGTTGTTTGGCAGGCCTGGGCTGGGTTTGAATGTGCCAGCTCTGGTGTATGTGGCTGGCGCTCTAGCTGCTGAGCTGTAGCCACCAGGACACGTTAAGTATATGATTTAAGTATTGTGTTGTGCATCCATCATTGCTATCTATTCCTGTTACTTATGTTTTCCTTTTTTTGAGACAGTTCTCCCTATGCCCTGGGTAGAGTGTCATAGTGTCCTAGCTCACAGTAATCTCAGTATCTTGGGCTTAAGTACCTTGCCTCAGCCTCCTTAGCTGCTGGGGCTATAAGTCACCCACCACAACACTCAGCTAGTTTTTCTATTTTTAATAGAGACAGTGGTCTTGCTCTTGCTCATGCTGGTCTTGAACTTCTGAGCTCAGGCAATCCACTGGCCTTGGCCTCCCAGAGTGCTGGGATTACAGACATGAGCCATTGCACCCGGTGCCCTGTAACTTTTTTTTAATCATCCCAAGTATAAATTCTGTGCCTATTGTTTATTTTATTTGTTTATTTTTTAGCGATCAGGTCTTCTGTTGCCCAGGCTGGAGTGCAGTGGTACGATCATAATGCATTGCAGTCTCTAACTCCTGGGCTCAAGCCAACCTTCTACCTCAGCCTTTGGAGTTGCTAGGATGACAGACAGGAACCACCATGCTTGGGCTCCATTGTTTAATAACTTCCTCATTTCTACCTCTCCTTAGACCTTGGTAACTTAACCTTTTGTCTTTCTTTTGTCAATGAATTTGCTTATTCTGGGTTCTCCCATAAGTAGGATCCTACAGAATTTGTTCTTTTGTGACTGGCTTATTTCATTGATCATAATGTCTTCAAGGTTCATCTATGTTTTTTGTGGGTTTTTTTGAGACAGAGCCTCAAGCTGCCCACCCTGGGTAGAGTGCAGTGGCATCACAGCTCACAGCAACCTCCAACTCCTGGGCTCAAGCGAGTCTCCTGCCTCAGCCTCCCAAGTAGCTGGGACCACAGGCATCTGCCGCAATGCCCAGCTATTTTTTGGTTGCAGCTGTCATTGTTTGGTAGCCCGGGCTGGATTCGAACTCGCCACCATTGGTGTATGTGGCTGGCGCCTTAGCCACCTGAGCCACAGGCACCGAGCCTCATCTGTTTTGTAGCATGTCAGAATTTTCTTTTTATGGCTGAATAGTATTCTGTTACATGGATATTCCATATTTTATGTACTCTATTTCATTTGTTGATGGACACTTGGGTTGTTTCCACCCTTTGACTTTTATGAATAATGCTGCTATGAATATTTGTGTACATGTATTTGATTCCCTGCTTTTAATTCTTATTTTTCTCCTTTTTTTTCTGGAGACAGAATCTTGGTTGGTCACCCTCAGTAGAGTGTCATGGAGCCTTAGCTCACAGCAATCTCAAACTCTTGGGCTCAAGTGATACTCTTGCTTCAGCCTCCCAAACAGCTGGGACTATAGGCGCCTGCCACAACACCCAGCTAGTTTTTTAGGGATGGGGTCTCTCTCTGGCTCAGGCTGGTCTTGAACCTGTGAGCTCAGGTGATCCACTCGCCTCAGCCACCCAAGTGCTGGATTACAGGCATGAGCCACTGCACCTGGGTCTTCTTACATTTCTCTTTTTTTTAACACAACGAAAGATCTTTTATTTGTGAATTTAAAATTGATTGGGCCAGTGTGTACTATTTCGTGTTTCTGTTCTGTGAACCCTTGGAAATCTTCGCTTTTCTTTTCCTGTTTCTGTCTTGGAATTAAGGCACCTTAGGCAGCAGGTTGGCTTCACTCTTGTCTCACAGCCCACAGGAGCCTAGGAGAGTGCACTTTTCTTGGGAATGGTTTCTTGGTAGGTAGATTCTAACATTGCTTTACCTTTCTGTCTTACGGAACACATTAGTATGAATGTCTCAAATAGAAACCAACATTAGCTTTGTGTTATGCTTAAATTTGCATGGGATTTTAAACCTGGCAAATTAAATATTGGCTTTCACATTGTGCTAATGCGTAAACCCTTCTTCTCTTTTGAATTCAGTGAAGGAGAACGACCTACTCAGAATGAGAAGAGGAAGGAGAAAAACATAAAAAGAGGAGGCAATCGCTTTGAGCCATATGCCAATCCAACTAAAAGATACAGAGCCTTCATTACAAACATACCTTTTGATGTGAAATGGCAGTCACTTAAAGACCTGGTTAAAGAAAAAGGTAATGGTACTGGTGGTTGAGTAGGGTAAGAAGGTTGGTGTGTCATCTTTTCTGTGGCTAATTCCTTGGTTATTTTTTGTCAGTGGAAGCTGCTTGAGTTAGAGCATGAGTTCTGTCTAGGCTTGAGAGTTAAGTGCCCTTACCCCCCACCCCCACTTCTTTTGTGGTTAATGCCTTGTGTCCAACAGGGTGGTGTGTATGGTCCGGTGGCCTACAAATGATTTTCCTGGCTTAATACGGTTAATAAGGCTTCAGTTAGGCCTGAGGGGAGCCTTTTTGTGTTAAGAAAATTTTTTGAATTCTTCACCTTAGGTTTTTCCTTGTCCTTTTTTCATTTTGACGTCTGGAAGGAAGATAGTTTGTTTAAATTTTGTGGTTGTCTTCCTGGGCTCAAAATATGGTAGCTAGAGCTGTGCTGCTCGCATTCCAATATGTAACACATCAGTGTATATTTAAACTATTAGGCTCCCCTCCCCTGCCACTCTCCCTCCCCAGAAAAAATAGATTGGCAATTGAAGAACTTAAAATAAGGTATCTGCTCTGTAATGTGGGGCCTTAAAGTGCACATTAGTCAAGCCCAGGTGTCCAGATTCTGGCTTAGGGCAGGGGAAGCAACCAAATCTGCTGCCACCAGGAGGCCTGAGGAGGCTGCCCTCATGGTCTTCTGCCTCACCTCTATGCACACTACATGTGTCCTCTCTCTTTCCTCCTTTGCTCCTGTTCTCCTTTTGTCTTCCTTTCTTTCTTGATTTCTTGGCCCTGCTGGTGGCACTTAGAATGGAAGAGATTGCTCAGCTTCGGTTTAGACAAAAATATTGATAGAGAACAATTTGTATAATGCCTTGAGGCCCCACCTCCTACACCTAACATCAAATTACCGTTATTGGAGTCTTTGAAGGACTGAAAGGTATTGGTTTTCTGGAACATTCATAATGAAAAGAGATGTGAGCTTGATTTGTCATATGATTTAACATTTCAGTGACAGAGATGGCCTGTGGAGAGGCCATTTTGGTATGTGTACTGTTGCTCCCCAAATTGGGTTTTGAAATTATGAATGGCATTGCCATCATTGTCCCATCACTTATTTTGACCATGACATGAAAGAAGTATTAGGCACCGTGAACCTCTCTTGTACAGTCATGTGTGCTACTCCCATGTGGTATTTCTCCAGATAACACAGATGGAAAAATGTTTCGGTGTGAGATTTGTTTTCCTGCCTGGATCAGCCAAATCATTCCTGCCAATGTGCTCCTAGGGCAAGAGTGAAGTTTCTTTTTGTCTGAAGGGCGTGTCATGTGGCATCCCGGATGCAGTGTTCTTGGTTTTTGGGACTGCTGCTTCAATACAAGCTTGGAATTTCTGTACAGTACAGTTGGGTCTCATTCGAATTAGCTTTTGGAATAACCTCCAAATTTGTGTTCTCGTGATTTGGTTGAACCGCTGAATTGCTATTTCCATTGATAATAAGGTATAGTAGTTCCAAGAACCAGGAATGTGGCTTTGAAAATGCAATTGTTAGAATTTTGTAAGAGATTGCAGGCCAAATTATTTTTTTATTTTTAAGAGTGTGTGAACCAGTTTTGGGACATGATAGATAAAGTAGGTGACATTTTTACTGCTTTACCATTCAGTAATTCAGTTTGGGATGCCTTAAAGCTGGTAGCAGCAGCAGCCATGACGTTTCTGGATGTAGAAGCAGTTCACCTCAATATACTATTTTGCGCTCTTACTAAGTGTGGAGCCAGCCTGGTGGTTTATTTGGATACTTCCAAACTGGTTCTCATATTCCCCTGGCATACTGCTACGAATGCCCGGGCTCAGCCCTTTCAGTGTATTTTTGGTGGTGTAATTTAGAATTACAGGTGTGCAGTAAATCAGTTATTTTTAATGAACTTTAAAATGTTCTTGTTTAGAGCTCCCCTGTACTAGTTAAATTAATTACTTTGCTGTTTAATAAAATAATTAGCAGTATTAGATTGTGAGTAAAGTGATTGATAAGAGAAAGATAATCTTTTTATGGTAATGGTTATATTCAGTATGTGAAGTATACAGAAATTTACTGTGTTTATATACATATGGCTCCTTAAGAAATGTTATTTTCATTATGAGGTTTTAAAAATACATTTTTATTCCTGACTTGGTATACAAATACATGTTTAAAGAGTTATTTTAAATCTGAAATATTTACTTGAAATTTGTTAACAATAAGTTTTAAGGTTTTTTAAAGATTTATTGCACAAGAAAAAAATGCGGAGAAGCACTCACACTCTAAAGGTGTTAGTCTTTAAAACCATCATCCAAAAAAAAAAAAAAACCATCATCCCAAACCACAGAAATTTGAGCTGTCTTATTATAACCACTTTTCATCAGTCTCCATTTTAAAAATCCATGCCTTATGAAATCTTAGTCCTATGGTTTAAGGATAACTAGTGGAACAAGAACTGAAATTAGTTATCAACTTAAATTTTCTGTCATTGGCAGCAGTGTCTAATTGCAGCCTCACAGTGTCTAATTGTAGCTACCTTTGAGATGGGGGAACTTTTTAAGGGTACTTATGTGGGAGATTATCTCATATACCCCTCTCTAATTCCTGATCATTTTCACCTCTTTGATACCAGGCGTATATTCTCCATCTTTAATTTTAGAATTTAGCACCATTCTTGGAGATCCTCTTAATAATCTATTTGTTACATGAGCTGGTGCCTTAAGCCCTTGGAAGTTACTACCAGTGCACAGCTATTGTGACAGATAGTGGGATACATATCTTAAAGTGGTTGACATAAGGACTGGGCAGAATAAATTTAAAATTTCTGTGAGCACAAAGTCTGTGAGACCCTATTCTACAAAAAACACATATTTAGCTTTACATAATGAGATGCATGGCCTGTTGTCCTAGCAGCTTGGGAGGTAGGGCAGGAGTAGGAAGATCACTTGAGTTTGAGGCTGGAGTTTGAGGCTGGACAGAGGAAGACACTCTATCAAAAACAAAACAATTTCTGTGAGCAAAAAGTTATCTTAGGCATTTTAAGCTTAGTTTGAGACCCTAAAATCCTGTGTGGATGAAGAAAGCTGTTTACTGCTGCTACCTCTCCTGGTCTAACCAGGGAGCTGGCAGCATCAAGGTGAAGCAACTGCAACTGAGGCCGGAGTGTTGCATTAGCAGTGAGTAAACATGGAGCCTAGTGATGAAGTTTACTCTCAAATTGATTGAGTTTAGCAGCAGTTGGTTTAATTTGTGTAAGCACAAATTTAAGTACTTAATCTTTCTGTTATTATTTAGTACATTACTTTTGGTAATTTCAAATTCAAATGACAGGAAACTGAGGCCCAGAGTACAAATGTAGTCCAATAGAAAGCCTCATTTGGTTCTTGGAGGTAATTTGGATTGTGGATCTGTGAGGCAGAACTTTAATTTTCTATTTAAATAAAATCCCTACTCAGTCTCTTTGCGCCTTCATGCTTTCCTTTGTTGGAAATTCAGTCTGCATTTTAGAAAGGTCTGTTTTGCTACAGCATGTATATGTGTGGATGCAGAAGTGCAGCCTGTCTGGCTTACTCTGTGGTCTTTGGATTAGGTTCTTCTTCTTTTGCCATGGGATTAAGAGCAAGTGTGGGCTCAGTCTTTTTCTAACTTGTCCATAAATCAAGTAATCATGTAGAATATTTACTTGGGCATGTTTTAAGTTGACTTTGTATTAAAGAATATGCATTTAGGGCAGCACCTGTGGCTCAGAGGAGTAGGGTGCTGGCCCCATATGTTGGAGGTGGTGGGTTCAAACAAATTGGCCACCCAAATTGGCTGGGTTCAAACCCAGCTCCGGCCAAAAAAAACAAAAACAAAAACTGTAAAGAATATACATTTATTCTGTACACCCCTCTATTAGAGTGGGCACCTGAAAACCATGATGAGGTGAAGATGTTTAGCTGGTAACATGCCCAACTTTCAAGCTCTTCCTTCCTTTTAAAAAGTTGTAGGCCTTATCACATGGGAATTTTCTTCAGTGAAGCTTCAGGCTCATATTCCCTCTACTTTTTTGTTTGTTTCAGACTTGAGCAGTAAATGGGAGCCCCCAAACAATAATTTTTATAAAAATTTGTGCAGGAATGTGAAATCTGCCTCCAGGTCCTAATCTGCTCTGGGTGATTCGTTCTTTTAAAAATTTCATTTCATAGAATATGACCAGACTGTGGTTACTTGGCAATTTTGCTTTCAAATTCTTGTCACTAGTCGTACTGACTCCACAAAACTGGTCTTTAATATTGTAGAATCAAAAGAGAGATGAAGTGGTCTTTTAAAGGCTTCATAATTATCTTCTATAGGGAAGTATGAATTGGCATCTATTGCAGAGCCTGCAACACTGATTTGATGAAGTCTCTTGAGGGAGGAGATGGGAATTTGATGAATTCATGAGGAGCTTTGTCATTACTGGTGATCTCCAGGACAGTATCACTTAGGCTGGCGCCACAGAGGGTTATTCAACAACTCCATTTGGTGATGGGGGCTGGGGGGCGTGGAGACTTTTTAGCAAATTGCTAGTGTAAAGGATTGGAGTCAAGAATGTCAAGAAGTCACTAGAATGTTACATGGGAAAAGTCTTGATTTTTAAACTTCTCTGTTTATGACCATGGGAAAAAGTGTGATTTGGACTTGCTTGGTTTCTGGGTTGCAGTAATATCTTTTTGATTAAAGTGTCTTTATGGACACAGACTGGAGACTTCAAATGCAGCAGTATTTGCATTTTGACAGTATGGTTACAGCTGTCTTGAATTAGATATTGTGTTTTTTTATTTTATAGGGGTTATTAGGTGGTAGTCACAGCTGGTAGGAAATAAACTTCAGGGGTCTCTTCACTGTTTGACACTACAAGACATTTTCATCAAAGTGGAGAACAAAGGCTGCTGGTCCTGGAATGGCTGCTGCTATTGAAATAAATGGCTTTTAACAGGGCCTCAGGAAAGGGCTGCGACTGTTTTAGAGCACTTTTACTTTTGTGAGGGTAGGATAAAGCCAATTTGTACAAATGTCCCTTGGCTGTGATCAGTTTTCAGTTTGCTCTGTAAGAGTACATACTTCAAAAGTGAAACTGTACTGGTTTCTCCTAGTTACTTTCTTTGTTAATTTGCACTAATTCTCTCCCCTTCCAAGTGCTAGTTTGATTCTGTAACATTTCAGGAAAGGACAAGGAAGGTGAGGCTATAATAGACTTTAAAACTTTGAATATTTGGCCTTCTTGCCTTCAGTCTCTGTGCAAAGTCATTAATATGTCCTTCAAATTGTTGATTTTTTTGTGATGTAATCTTAACTTGGTTTTCATTTAAATCTTTCCTTGCTATATTAATTCGAAAGTCTTCCTAAAATTTTTAATATTGTTTAAACAAAAGAGTTGGAATTGGTCAGGACTCTTGGAGCCCATTAAGTGGGTTATTTCTGCCCTTTTACTGCTAAACCAAACTTGAAAATTGAATTGGAGAAGGATTTAACATCATAGAAACAATCTTTGAAGGAAAAAAGATATTCCTGAGAACAAAAGTCCTGTGTTGACCTTGAGAGCCTTCTGAGAGATCATTTTCTCCAAGTGAACGCTTTACATTTCTGTTTTCTGTGTGCCATCTTCAAGTTCAGCAGCCATTTTGGTGGTTGTCTTCATGGATTCTAACATCTGGTTGTGATGGTCATGAATTGGCAATCCAAACCTTGAGGAAAATCTGCAGAACCTTTTGAAATGTTTTGGGTTTTTTCCCTTTGTGTAGGTTAGAATTAGTCTATTTAAATGTTTAGATGCAAAACCTGAGCCCTAAATTTGAATTTTTAGGGAGGTTTAGAAAACCTTCCTATAAAGCAAAAATAAAGCCCTGCTAAATTCACTGAAGAGAATAGAGAATCTTCTTTGGCTTTGTGATCTTTTTTTTTTTTTTTTGGAGACAGTCTCACTTTGTTGCTGTTGGTAGAGTGCTGTGGCCTCACAGCAACCTCAAACACTTGGACTTAAGAGATCCTCTTGCCTCAGTCTCCCAAGTAGCTGGAACTACAGGCCTGCCACAACACCTAGCTATTTTTTTTTTTTTTTTTTAAGAGATGAAGTCTTGCTCTGGCTCACGCTGGTCTTGGAACTCCTGAGCTCAGGCAATCCACCTGCTTCCGCCTTCCAGAGTGCTAGGATTACAGGTGTGAGCTACCACGCCTGGCCAGTCTTTGTGATCTTATATGGAAACATTCTGCTTCTGGAGCCTAGTGATGTATGCAGAATCAGTTATAGAATTTGTGGGGCTCAGTGCAAAATGAAAACAAGGGGCTTCTTGTTAAAAATTAAGATACTTCACTATAGTGGTAACAGTGTTAAACCAAACTTGAAGCTCTTTTGAGCACAGGGCTCTGCACAGTTACACAGGTTGCATACCTGTGATGCTGGCGTGGTGGCTGTGTGTGTTCCTTTGAGCTTATATGTACACATACAGGCATCCTTGTATTTATAGGATGTGAGCTCAGTGCAGTGGCATTGCAATGTGTGTGCTCTGTACCTACTTTACCAGCAAGAGTGTATGTGTAAAACCTTTCCTCCCTTCCCCCCAAAAGTGAATCCTGCAGACTTCTTTCCTGTAGTTTTGGATTGCCTCTAATCATGAATGGGTCTTCCAGACAGGGAAATTGATATGGAAATCTGTGGAAATAGCTTGTTTGTGGTGGGAGGAAAATCAAGGACATATTGTTAACATGTTTCACCTACTTTTACTGCACACCTGTAATGCCTAGTGCGGTGGATTAGAGAATATGGAGTGTTTCTGGGCTTTCTTATAAGGCAGAGGCTCCATACAAGGTTGCTGATGATTGTTCTAAATTCCCATTGTTTTCTTGGCTTTTCTCCCTTGGTTTATGTGTCGTCTGGAAACTGATTTGTAGTTGGTGAGGTAACATACGTGGAGCTCTTAATGGACGCTGAAGGAAAGTCAAGGGTAAGTGTCTGAGAGAATTTCTTCTGTGGATTTACTACATGAAAAATGTAACTGTATGGTGGCGTGGAATCGAATGAAATCAGGAAGGCAGTGAGTGCTCATGTTACAGTAGCTATGTTTGATTTTGCCAAACATTTGAGTGGGGTGGGAAGGGATTTGCTAAGGGGAGTCCCGCTTTTCCAAATGGCTGGCCAAAGAGCTTTTTGGTATTCTGTTTGGATGCCCAATTTGGATAACTGGGGACCAATAGCAGCATTGTCTCTTTGTTAACAGAGGAATTGGCTGTGTGTGAATTATGCATGGAACTTTAGCGGTGGTATAATTTAATGTAAAACGTGTGTTCTTGTCTAGAAAATGTTACTCTTGGTTGTTTGCTGAATTTGAAAGTTGTGTGAGCCAAAGACTCTGAAAAGTTGCCTTTGTGCCAGTAAATTGTAAATCAAATATTAAAAACCTGAACGTTCAAAATTGGCCTAGTTTAAAGAGAACATAAACTGTTTTCTGTCGTGCAATAGAATGGCTTAGAATAATCAGTTAGGATGAGTTTAATTTATGGAAGGGATGGATTTAGGAGGAGTATGACAAGGAATTGATTGAGTACAGAGGGAAGCAGATCTAAAGTTTGTGTGATTTCTTGGAGAACCTGAATTTAGGTCTGCTTATTATAACTTCAGCAACCATAGTGTAATGCTGGTAATGTGTAGGAAAAGGAGAAATTAAGGAGCCCACCTTTAATGAGGAAGGCTAGGAGAGGCACTTCTGTCAGCTTCCCCTTAGAAGGGTTAATTTAAAAACTAACTTTGTTACATAAATCGTAATTTAATTTGTTTATAACTGTCATTGGTATTTACTATTTTTTTCTTTTCTTCCCCCCCACCCCCACCCCTTGCTCTGCTGACTGGTCTTTGGCTTCTCCCAAAGGGATGTGCGTAAGTATTGTCTAATTATTTATTGGTATTCGAGCTTTCTAACTTGTAGGACTGGTTTCACTCATTTCCTTTTGACTTTTTAGTGTTGTTGAATTCAAGATGGAAGAGAGCATGAAAAAAGCTGCAGAAGTCCTAAACAAGCATAGCCTGAGTGGAAGACCACTGAAAGTCAAAGAAGTAAGCTCTTGCATAACACTGTGGGTTTACATTGATTGTTGAGTTATCCCTGTTGAGTTAGGAAAAGACAATAATGGTCTTTGACTGCATTTTACAGAGTAGACCAGCCTGTTGTTTTTAATCAAGACGGCTAGTTACAGCCTTCAGCAGCCATTCCTGTCTGAGGCCTTGTCTCAGGAACATTCACACTGATCCCATGGGTTTTTTAATTTAATTTAATATTTTATTTTATTTTTTTATTTTTATTTTTATTTTTTGAGACAGAGCCTCAAGCTGTCCCCCTGGGTAGAGTTCTATGGCATCACAGCTCACAGCAACCTCCAACTCCTGGGCTCAAGTGAGTCTCCTGCCTCCGCCTCCCAAGTAGCTGGGACTACAGGCGCCTGCCACAACACCCAGCTATTTTTTTTGGTTGCAGCCGTTGTTGTTTGGCGGCCCGGGCTGGATTCGAACCCGCCAGCTCAGGTGTACGTAGCTGGCGCCTTAGCCACTTGAGCCACAGGCGCCGAGCCTAATATTTTATTTTTTGAGACAGCATCTCACTTGTAGTCTTTTATAAATAAGAGTGCCAGGGCATCATAGCTCACAGCAACTTCAAACTCCTGGGCTTAAGTGATTCTCTTGTCTCAGACTCCCAAGTAGCTGGGACTGTAGGCGCCTGCCACAACTCCCAGCTATTTTTTTTGAGACAGGGTATCTTGTGGCTCAGGCTGATTTTGAACCTGGAGCTCAGACAATCCACCTGCTTTGGCTTACCAAGTGCTGGGATTATAGGTATGAGCCACCGTGCCCGGCCCCTGCCATGGTTTTTTTTTTTTTTTTTTTGGTCGATGTTGAGATAGTCTCACTATGTTGCCCTTGGTAGAATGCTGTGGTGTTACAGCTCACAGCAACCTCAAACTCTTGGGCTTAAGAGATTCTCTTGCCTCAGCCTCCCAATTAGCTGGGACTACAGGCACCTGCCACAATGCCCAGCTATTTTTTGTTGCAGTTGTCGTTGTCGTTAGCTGCCCTGGGCCGGGTTCGAACCCACCACCCCTGGTGTATGTGGCTGGCATCATAACAACTGTGTTATGGTGCACAGTGGATTTGTGCAGTTAAAGGACTTAGTACCTACAGTTTTACCCAGTCTGAATCCTATTTTTGGCCCACGTTTTTCCTTAAAGTATTTTTGCCATTACTTACCATCTTTCATATCTAATCCGAATCAAATTTCTTTCTCTAGGAAGAAGGTTTTGTTGTTGTTTAAATTGATTAAATCCCTCCTTGACTACTTACTTCCTCTTACTGGGGAGGAGGATCAATATTTCAGAGGTCAGAAAGGAGAGCAATGGTAGGGTTTACGGTGTCTTATATGTTGATGGTGTCTTTTTTAGTGCTGATGGAGGTAAATGAGAGGACAAAGTTCAAGAAGAGTCAATACCAACACTTCACAGACCTGCTCAGATGTTGTCACACTGTCCAGACTTTATACATATGAGTCAAACACCTGAAGGACTTTGAGGATGGGGGTACCTGGGTGATCTAGAACTGTGTTTTCAAACTTTAGGAAAAGTTATTTATGGGGTCTGCAGAAATTATAAAATTCCATTGAATTAGTAAGATTCAGTTACATCAGGCAGCCTATGAAGCTCTTATTTCAGTCCAGAAGTTCTACATTGTGTCAACTAACTGTGTCATCTTCCCCTTTCCTCTTTTCTCATTTAGTTCATTTAAGACCTGTGGTTTCAGAACCAAATTTCATGCCCTTAACTTCCTTTCTTGTATCTTCAGCTGTACTCTTCCTAAGGATGGTGGTCATTTGAGTTTCTCATTAATAGATTTGAGAGGTCCTTTCCAAACAAACTTTTAATCTCTAGTTTTGAGAATATCATTCATTGTGAAGGCATGGTTTTAGTTGTCACTGGGTCGGTTAAATGTAACACTTTTATGCTTGTTTTAGGATCCTGATGGTGAACATGCCAGGAGAGCAATGCAAAAGGTGATGGCTACGACTGGTGGGATGGGTATGGGACCAGGTGGCCCAGGAATGATTAATATCCCACCCAGTATCCTAAATAATCCTAACATCCCAAATGAGATTATCCATGCATTACAGGCTGGAAGACTTGGAAGCACAGTATTTGTAGCAAATGTAAGTAAATGCAACCAGCTTTTAAAGTAGAAAATCAGAACTTGATGAAACAACTTTGTCAGTATTATGAAAGTAATTCTGATACTTGGAGAAATTTTATGTGGGTTATATTCTTGATTTAAAAACCAGCCTTGGGGGGTGGTGCCTGTGGCTCAAAGGAGTAGGGCATCAGCCCCATATGCTGGAGGTGGTGGGTTCAAACCCAGCCCCAGCCAAGGACTGCAAAACAAAAACAAAAACAAAAAAACAGCCTTGAAGTACCTCTGCATCTTGAGTCACAAGCTTGATATAGTCCCATTGGGCTTTGTTTGCTAAAGTTTGCCAGTGTTTACAAAACTACTATCAGGATCTGTGTTCTCTGTGAATTTTTTTTTTTTTCTGCAGTTTAGGTGTCTGGTAAAAGTGTACTAGCAGAGGCAATATACTGACACCTTTCTGTTTTTTTGTGTCTGTGGTAAATGATAATACTTTCATCACGTGCAGGGGGAAATAGTTTTAGAAAGGGGGAGAGGGGTAAAGATAAACCTTAGCAGGGGAATAATTTTTTTAATGTTTATACAGAAACTATCCATTCGAAAAGTTTGAAGTGACTTAAGCTGTTTGGAGAAAAGAGTTAGTAAATAAATTCTGCAGTTGTTTAGTTTTTGTGACATTATTTTCTAATGCTGTTTCCAACCAAAATATGTCTCATTCATGTAGTAAAAATGTTAAGTTTTTAAAAGATGTTTTCACAGAGGTGTTTATCTTCTTCTCTCTCAACTAGCTGGATTATAAAGTTGGCTGGAAGAAACTGAAGGAAGTTTTTAGTATGGCTGGTGTGGTGGTCCGGGCAGACATTCTTGAGGATAAAGATGGAAAAAGTCGTGGAATAGGCACTGTTACATTTGAACAGTCCATTGAAGCTGTGCAAGCTATATGTATCCTTTAGCAGGAATTCAACACATGGTGAACAGTTTGATCTAAATTGTTGTTTTTTAGTAGTACAGGTTTGTGTGAAGAAGAGGTAACTTTATATATTTTCTTTTCTTTATTGATTTTTTTTATGTAACTAGAGGTAATGCATTACTGTGAAATTTCACAGTTCTCTGGGGTAAAATTGATTCGATACAGTGTGGCTGCAAGGGATGTTTGGAACACCAGCACATGTCCACGAGTGGGCTTCTCCAGTGGTTTTTTTTTTTTTTTTTTTTCCAGAAAAGTCTGAATTTGAAGGGAGTAGTGCCAAAGAAGGCACTACTAGAGAGAAATTGCCTATAATCCCAGTACTGGGAGGCTGAGGCGGGTGGATTGCCTGAGCTCACAAGTTTGAGACTAGCTTGAGCAAGAGTGAGACCCTATTTCTGAAAAGCAGTCCAGCGTTGTGGCAGGTACCTGTAGTCCCAGCTACTCAGAAGACTGAGGCAAGAGAATTGATTGAAACCAAGAGTTTGAGGTTGCTGTGAACTATGACACCACAGCATTCTACTGAGGGCAACAAAATGAGACTCTGTCTCAAAGAAAAAAGAAATTGGGTTGATCTTTTCTCCCTCCTTTTTTTCTTTTTTAGAGGCACAGTCTTGTTCTATTGCCCTTGGCAGAATGCAGTGGCATCATCATAGGTCATTACAGCCTTGAACTCCAGGGCTCAGGGAATTACCTGCCTAAGCCTCGTGAGTAGTTATGACTATAGGAGCATATTACCACACCTGGCTAATTTTTTTTTTCCCTTTTGAGACAGAGTCTCACTTTGTTGGCTGTGGTAGAGTGCTGTAGCATCAATAACTTACAACAACCTCAAACTCTTGGCCCCAAGTGATTCTTTTGCTTCAGCCTCCCAAATAGTTGAGCCTGCAGGTACCCACCATTAACACTTGGCTTTTCTGGGGGGGCTGCGGCTGGGTTTGAACCCACCACCTCTAGCATATGGGGCTGGTGCCCTACTCCTTTGAGCCACAGGCGCCGCCCCCACTTGGCTATTTTTTTTTTTTTTTTG